GGGGGGTAATGTGACTGGGTGGGTGTGGCCAATTTATTTTTTTTTTACTTTTAAAACCATTTTTTCTACAATCTCTTTGGCGAAGAGGTTGTAAAAAAACGCTTTCAAAAGGCTCTGACGATCCCAGCTGAGTTGCCTGATCTGCAGAGGCTTTTTTTTTCTTTTAAATGCCTCTGCCGATCAGGCAACTCAGCTTGGATCATCAGAGGGATTTAAAAGAAAAAAAGCCTCTGATGATCGCGCGGCTCAGCTGAGCATGGGGGGGGGGCAGGGATTTTTGCTACCGGTTCTCTGAACCACCCCCCTCCATCACTACCGGATCGGGTGATCCGGTCCGAACCGGGAGCATTTAACCCCTGGACCTCACTCCCTTCGTAAGAGGTCTGTAGAGAGGAGGCGTGCATAAGCGCACCAGGGTGCCTACCGTCCCTGTCTTACTGTCGCGATTTATTTGTGTTTACTTCCCTCGTTTATCTTTATGTTCATACCTATACTTGTTATCTTGTACATGTTTGACAAACAAACAAATAAATAGATAGGATTTATAACAGGCTGAGCATGCTGATATCAAATACTGTAGGTTACAAATTATGAGGAAAACTGAAGTGAGGCATCTGATTTAAGAAAGGTATCTCTGTAAGTTGGAGAGAGAAACCATTAAGAGATGAGCCACAGTGGAATTGAATGCATTGATTATTTTTCCCAACCATGTTCCCAGTGGTGGAATTCATAATTTTTTACTACTGGTTCTGTGGGTGTGGCTTGGTGGGCATGATGTGGCGTGGTGGGCGTGGCTTGGTGGGCGTGGTGTGGCATGGTGGGAGTGGCTCGATGGGTGTGGCAGGGGAAGGATACTGTAAAATCTCCATTCCCTCCCCACTCCAGGGGAAGGTTACTGCAAAATCCCCATTTCCTCCCAATCAGCTGGGACTCGGGAGGCAGAGAATAGATGGGGGCAGGGCCACTCAGAGGTGGTATTTACCAGTTCTCTGAACTATTCAAAATTTCTGCTACCGATTCTCGAGAACTGGTGAGAACCTGCTGAATACCACCTCTGCATGTTCCACTGTTATTTAACAGAGATAGACAGGACAAATTTCGTTTTCCCAGCCTAAAATTTACAGGGTTTCTCTGGGCAGTCATTGATGTTCTATCCAACAGCTAAGCTCTCAGAGTTCCTGTGAGGATAGAATATAAAGGAGAGAACATTGCACATAATGTTGAATAAAATGTATCAATGAAATAGTACTGAATATTAAAAAAAAAATACTAGTCTAAGCTGGATTCCCCCCTCCTTACTTTTTTGTGATTATGACAAATATGGCTTTACATAGGTTGTGACACCTAGCTCAGTGTCAAGTGAACCTGAGGAATCGCTAAATATCAGGAGGGTAAAATATATATTTATTCTGTGTAAAGAACTAGCTTTGTAAGGTTATTCAGAAGGCCAAGAAAAGGCTCGCAATAAAGGCGCTGCAATTTTTTCCCCAATCATCTGGGCAATCCGTCAAGTAAGTAGAACTTTTTTCTATTACTGTAGAGTTCTCTTTTTGTTCTTCATGGGGCTGGTTTGGACTCTCTTAGTCTTGCTTTAATCATTGAACCTTATCTATGTTTGTTGGCAGTGTATGGATTTTCTGAGTTCTAGCTATCGTAACTAGCACCGCTAATGTGGAGTTTTATAGGAGTTCCAGCATCAAAGTTCATATTCTTGCAGTGCATCTGGAACTTAGTTGAAATTGTTGCCAATTTGTTATACTTGTTAAAGATTATTATCAGTTACTTTGTCCACACGGATAACAACCTGATTCTAATGTAATTATATGAACCCAGTGACTGGAATTCATTTATTAGAAATAGGCAGTGGTGAAATCCAAATTTTTTTACTACCAGTTCTGTGGGCGTGGTTTGGTAGGTGTGGTGTGGCTTGGTGGGCGTGGCTTGGTAGGCATGGCAGGGGAAGGTTATTGCAAAATCGCCATTCCCTCCCCACTCCTGGGGGAAGGATATTGCAAAATCTCCATTCCCACCCCACTCTGGGGCCAGCCAGAGGTGGCATTTGCTGGTTCTCCGAACTACTCAAAATTTCCACTACCGGTTCTCCAAACTACTCAAAATTTCCGCTACCGGCTCTCCAGAACCTATCAGAACCTGCTGTATTTCACCCCTGGAAATAGTTTGCCAGATCAGTTTATTGGATAAACCACAATTGGCCGTATTATGAACTACGGTTGAGTAAATCTACACATGATAATAAACCAAAGCTGAATAAATTAGAATGATATGTAAACCAAGTGGCGCAACTCTCCACAATTATCTACAAGGGATAGGCAGATACTGAGATCTTTCTTCTATATGGATTCAGAAGGTTACAATGATAGTCAATCTTGGGTGATCTCAGAAGCTAAGCAGGTCTACCATAATATAGCACTTGGACTGGAATCACAGAGTTGAACCTCAGAACCAGAAGTAAAATAAATAAATATCTTAGATATATCTGTATCTGTAATGCTGCCAAGAATTGCTGCAGTCACTAAGAGTCAAACACAACTTGAGGGCATCTTTTCCATTTTAAACAAAAAATATCATTCATCAGTTGGAGTTCCCAACCTGGATCGGTCATGACATTTGCTATAGCTACTGGCAGTTTCCAATTCCTGCCTATTCCATCTGCATCATGTAACAAAACCTCAAAGATAAAATTCTGTCCCTGTTCTAACATCCTCCTCCCATATTGTACAATCTAAAAGTAAAATAAATTGGCACGAGGAACTGTTATTCCTGAGAGCAATCTCTCAGAGCTTCCTTCGATGCTGGAGAGGGTGTTTTATTATACCTCTTTGCCTTCTTGGAAATCTTTTGGCTCACCCAAATCTTTTGATAACTGCTTCATGTCTGTAGCTGGTTAAGTTTTGACTTCCAACAACAGCTATTTAGTAACAAAACACCTATGTTCTAATAGAACAGGACTCCTGCTTTCTCTTCTAATTTCTAACTTTCCCTTGTATTCATACACCCCAGCTCCATAATCCTGAAAGAAATCTTAAAATAGAAAGCAACCTTTATTCAACTGTTAACATTAAATAGTGGAGATTTTTGTAGACCGTTATTAGTTATGCAATCACACCCATCAAGATATAAATGTGAGTTAGAATCTTCTAACACCTCCTCCTCCTCTCTTCTCTCTCTCTCTCACTCACTCACACACATACACAGCACGCAGGATTCAGCATTCCTGCAAGGCAAGTTAAATTATGAATGATTTTAACAGATTAACAGAGTTGGAAGGGACCTTGTAGGTCATTTAGTCCAACCCTCTGCCCAAGCAGGAGACCCTGCCTACACCATTTCTGACAAATTTGCCCCTTATTATCTATGGATGTTGCTGCTAAGCCAGGTTTTTTATCTAGTGTTTCACAATTAAGTGCAACCTTTTCACTACTGTTATCATACTGCTTTCGTTAGTGCAACCCTATACACTTACTGTTTGGGAGGAAATTCCATGGACAGTATTGGGCCTATTCCTACATCATCATTTGAAAGTTTAGTCCAGTGGTGAAATGTAAAATTTGTTACTACCGGTTCTGTGGGCGTGGCTTGGTGGAGGAGGGGTTAATGTGCCTGGATGGGCGTGGCCAACTTTTTTTTTAACTTTTAAAAGCATTTTTTCTACAACTGAAGAGGTTGTAGACAAAATGCTTTTAAAAGGCTCTGATGATCCCAGATGAGCCGCGCAATCATCAGAGGCTTTTTTTTTTTTACTTTTAAAAGCATTTTTTTGGCCGAAGAAAAAATGCTTTTAAAAGACTCTGATGATCCCAGCTGAGCTGCGCGATTATCAGAGGCTTTTTTAAAATTATTTTTAAAAGCATTTTTCCAGCCAAAGAAAAAATGCTTTTAAAAGTAAAAAAAAAAAAAAAAAAGCCTCTGATGATCGCGTGGCTCGTCTGGACATGAGGGGGTGGGCAGGGATTTTTGCTACCGGTTCTCCAAACCACCCACCATCATCAGTACCGGATCTGGTGGTCCGGTCCGAACCGGGAGCATTTTACCCCTGATTTAGTCCCATTCTAGTGTGCAAAAATTGTACTGCTTTGGCTGAAATATGTCCATCATTAGTCTTGTTTCTCACTTATGTAGCTTCTTTCTTTCTAATCTCTTTAAATACTAATGAAAATGTTTTTCTCTTACATAGTTGTATGCAGTAATTTTATCATTATTCTATTAGATATATGGATTAAAATTATTGAAAGTAGTATATTTAACCCCAATTCAGTCATTTGTTCTATTCAGGGGAAAGATCATCCAAATTCATTTATCACTTTGGTAGTCTCAATACCCTAAAGTCTTCAGAGGGGAATGGTGACACACCGAGGATCGGTGGATGTAACAGATGGTGCCTTTCTTTTCAGAATACTACTCTATCTGTTCTTGGCTGATGTTTATTCAGGAGCACAAAACCAAGGAGAACTGAAGGATATTTTTGTATTGGAAGAAATTGAAGAAATTATGGGGGGTGGGAGAGATGAAATACGTTTGAGCTATAACAGAATGTGGAATTTGGTAGAGCAACCATCCCAATCGGACACCTTCCCGTTGTTTTGAATTCGGAATTCCCAGAATCAATTTGTAATTTCTACAGTCCTGGGAAGGACCCATATTGAGCAAAGCTGTGTTTCCAGTAGAGCCCCAAAGGACCTCTGGGTCCCTATCAGAGGTGGGTTTCAGCAGGTTCTGACCAGTTCTGGAGAACCAGTAGTGGAAATTTTGAGTAGTTTGGAGAACCAGTAAATACCACCTCTGACTGGCCCCACCCCCATCTATTTTCTACCTCCCGAGTCCCAACTGATCGGGAGGAAATGGAGATTTTGCAGTAACCTTCCCCTGCCATGCCCACCAAGCCACACCCACGGAACCGGTAGTAAAAAAAAATTGAATTCCACCACTGGTCCCTATCAGTTAACTCTTGTGACTTTGATGATCTCTTCGCTTCCCCTCAGGTAGCCGAGAAACTGCCTTCGCATACGCTGTCAGTGCCGCAGGAGTCGTGAACGCCATCAGCCGCGCCTGCCGCGAAGGAGAGCTCTCGACTTGTGGTTGCAGCCGGACAGCACGACCCAAGGACCTGCCCCGGGACTGGCTTTGGGGTGGGTGTGGGGACAATGTGGAATATGGCTACCGGTTTGCCAAAGAGTTTGTGGATGCCAGAGAAAGGGAGAGGAACTATGCCAAGGGATCAGATGAGCAGGCCCGGATACTCATGAACCTACAGAACAACGAGGCAGGGCGCAGGGTAAGATAATTTTAATTCTCTTCTATTTCTCTGTAGATTAGCTTTCTCATCTCTCTGTGCTCCTAGATGTATTTTACTGGAATTCCCTTTGGCCCATCCAGTAGGGCCACTGAATGGTATTGCATGTTCCATTGTTATCTTTTCATTGGTTATTTTAGGAGAGAAAAGAAAAAGATTTAGGAAGCTATTTGTTCCAGTTCCCCTCATCCCAGCCCGTGGAGAGGAAGTTCTGCATTTAAATTTTAAGGGCCAGGAGACTAAAACATATGAGGAACAGTTACAGAAATTGTGTATGGCTAGTCTAGAGAAAAGAAGGACTAGGGATGACATTATAGCAGTGTTCCAATATTTGAAGAGTTGCCACAAAGAATAGGGAGTCAACTTATTTTCCAAAGCACCTGAAGGTAGGACAAGAAACAATGGATGGAAACTAATCAAGGAGAGAAGCAACCTGGAATTAAGGAGAAACTTCTTAACTGTGAGAACAATTAACCAGTGGAACAGCTTCCCTGCAGAGGTTGTAGGTACTTCATTACTGGAGGTTTTTAAGAAGAGACTAGACAGCCACCTGTCTGAAATGGAATAGGGTCTCCAACTTGAGCAGGGGGTTGGACTAGAAGGCCTCCAAGGCTCCTCAAAACACTATTCTGTAAATAAATAAAAATCTCATTTGAGAATGCTAGGCTAGGATTTACTAACACTGGCAACTCCAACCCTTTAGCGGCATTTGATCCCCTACATGATCTCCCTTGGTGTTTCCACCCTGCAGAAAATACAGTTTCTGGAATGATGGACAACAAGACATACAGTCCCATTCTGTTTTCAAGGAAGGTCATCCATCAGGGATTGGAGAAGGGATTGTCTCAGTTATAGACACAGTCCTGACCCCATCCCTGCTCCACTGCACTCAGAAGATTCAACTTCTAGCTTTATTGCCTTGTTTGTTTACCTTTGAAGGTTATCTCGGCTTGCCCTTTCCTCCCCCGTCTCTTTCTCCTCTTGATTTCCGTTTTTGCCTTCTTTCCCATTAGCCTGAACCTTATTGTTCCAAGGGGCTCTTAGGCATTGGCAGACATGCTGCATTATTTATCTACACAACATGTAACAGGCCTCCAGCATCAGTCACTCGAATACCATTGAAGCTGAGAAGAAGTTTGATTGATAAACTGTATAGTAATTCTTTACAAATTCGCTTGAGATTACATCTCTTATGAGAGAAGAACCCAAAAGGAATTTGAGGTGGAGAATAACAGAAGGGCTGACATAAGCAAATCCCTTTGCCAGATCCTTGCAACTTGATACAAAGGGTTGGCTTTTTTGAGTGCAAATGTCTTAGCTGCCTCTGGCGCCTCGGCTCTTGATCTATTGCTCAAATATCTTTACTCCCATTTTTGGAAAGAAAATATGATAAAGGAGGAAACCATTTAGCTGTTTATTCACTGACATCTCTTTTAAGTCAGACACATAGAGCTGAGCATCTAGTAAACACACTATTTTGAAGTAAGAAATATTGATTTCATTCAGATTGTGATCTCAAATGAATTTAGGATTGTGGGGCAATCCCTTTATTTTTGCAAATAACCATGGTGTTTCTGGAAGGATAGCGGCCGCTGAAATTCCAGCGGCTTCCTTAGCAAACCATGTTTCTGTTGTACATGCTCCCCTGTACCTCTTAAGGCTGCCAAAAAAAAAAAAATACATGCAGTTTTTAAACAGCGTCAATTCATACATAATTTTCAAATCATAGGAAGTACTAGTTCCACTCTGATCTGCAATAGTCAGATCCCCACCTTGAATCTTGTGTTTAAACTGGACATTTTAAAAATGATTCAGGTAAATTGGGACACATTTAGAAAAAAGCTGTAAGGATAATTGGAGAACTAGAGGCAAAATTCAATGGAGAGAAATGGAAGGCACTGGATTTCTTTAGCTTTGAAAAGAAAAGATTGAGCGGGAAGGCAAATTTCAATTGGATGTCAAGATTTTTGTAAGGGTAAGAGGAAATTTAAGTATGGAACCAATTACCCAGAGTGGTGTTGTGTTCCCACTATATATGTTCAAGAAAAGGTTAGACAACCATCTATCAGAGATGCTTTAATTTACATTCTTGCACGGATCAAATGGTTGATCTTGGTCACTTAAATAGCTTCTTGACAATAAATTTAGTGTGCAGTTCATTGAATTACTAGCAGATTATTCTTCCCCCGACCTCCACTTGGAAGAGGAGTAGGATTCATGTCAACCTTCAAGGTAGACCAGACTAGAAAATCAGAGTCATGCAGGCTAATACCACTTTTATTATAAAGTTATAGTAACAAGATCTTGCAAGTCAGAGTGCCTTTCCCTCTCCCTTTATTTTCATGAAAATTAGGGAGAGTATTGTTTGAGATTTTCCTCAGGGTACAATTTAGCCCCAGACTCAGGTTTCTTTTATCTGACTATTTTCTTGGTAGTAGCTCTTCCTTCTGTTCCTCAAGGTCATTCCTTCTTCCCATTACAATGCTCCTTAGTCTTAACATAAGGCTCTTGACTCTCCTTTATACAACACTGGGGCATTTTAGGGGAAAATATGCCACCATAAGAACTAAGAGCCTGTTTAATCTAACGCAGGGATGTCAAACTCGATTTCATTGTGGGACGCATCAGGGTTGTATTTGACCTCAGGGGGCATGGCCAGCTCAACATCACTCATGTTGGGGGCGCCTTTGGTGGCCCGAGCGCTCTGCCAGCAAAAACGGGCTCCCGAGCTCCGTTTTCGGTTGTGACAGCTTCCTGAAATCTTCTGCCAGTGAAACGAGCTCCATTTTCACTGGCTGAGCCACCACGGGCTGATCCTTTGCTGTTTCCAGGGCAGCCTTGAGGGCCAGATCTAAGCACCCCACGGGCTGGATCTGTCCTCCGGGCCTTGAGTTTGATACTCCTGGTCTAGCGGTTAAAGTACCAGGCTAGAAACTGAGACACTGAATTTTAGTCCTGCCTTAGGCATGAAAGGTAGCTGGGTGACCGTGAGCAAGTCATGTTCTCTCTGCCTAACTCACCTTACAAAAGGGGCGGGGAAGGATGGCCCTTTTATGACTTGTGGACTTCATCTCCCAGAATTCCTGAGCCAGCCACCCTGAGCCAGAGTGGAAGCCCACAAGTCATAAAGGGGCCATCCGTCCTCACTTCTGCATTGCAAGGTTGGTGTTGTGGGGAAAATACAAGGAGGAAGACTGTTACATAGCTTCACCACCTTGTGTTATTTATAAAAATAATAATAAAGGCAGGATAATAAATTAAATTCAAAATAAATAAATCTAGTTTAGTTTTCACCTTCAATTGTCAAATGATCCAGTGAATGCTAGAGTAAATCACCATGCATCTTACTTGTAGTTTGATGCTAAATTATTCTTTTGTTCTTTGGACACCACCGGAGCACGGTGGCTGAGGAATGTAAACTTGCATTTCCTACCTAAAAGTTTTATATATCTTGTGTTCATGTCAGTGTAACAAAGAGTTAATAATTTGCTGGACCTAACAGGAAAAGCAGGGAAAAATAATTAATGGATGGATCATTCCAGTCCTTTTAATCTATACAGCAAGAGTTTTTTTTTGGGGGGGGGGAAAGAATAAGGACCATATTACACTTGAAAAACACTGCTGTATACTAATATTTGTTGTATGTACAAGAGTTGCTGATTGTAAAACGGCAAGGGTGTGATGTATTGCACATGCTTAAAGGTCTGAAAGCAAGCAAGCAAAATTTAAAAGACCAAGGCTGCAAACAGCACTGAATTAAAATCGATATATAAATCCAAGTAGGAAATGCATCGGTTTAGAGATTGTAAAATAACAATCCCTAATAATTATCAGCCTCTCATAGGCCTTTTAAACCACCTAAAAAAAAGCATCTGGATTAAAGAAAGAATAAGAGGACAGTTGTGTGAATTTTTCTTGGAAACACATTATTAAGGAGTTAAACTGCAGCTGAAAATGCCTGGTTTTTAACTACACCTGTTAAACCTGGGAGTGATAGGTATGTTTTGTGTATTGGGACTTTTCCACTGGCTAAGAATTTTGGCTGATATGGAGCTAATACATCTGGAAAAGTTCCAAGTCAGAAAATACATTTTTTCCCGTAGCAATTGAGGATTTGCTAGGATTTGAAAGAGGGAACAAGGTTTTTGAATGAATCCTGTTCGTAATATTTTAAAATATTGTTTGGCATTTGTCTGCTACTCTTTTGTGTGGGACCCACGGCAAAAGTCTGATGGAAATTTTATTCAAAAGATAACACCAAGAAAATATAATTACTTTTCCTAATACTAATAGAGTGACTGGTTTGAAATCAAAAGAAGAAGGAAAATACAAATGTAGCAGATTTTAGATAGCAAAAGAAAAGGTGAGAATTCCAATGTTTCTGAAAATCTTCAGGTATGCATTTATTGCTTTATGTAGAGAAGGAAGAGTGTCCCAGGCTTCAAAAGTCAAAATGTCCTCTATATTTTGCAGCCTTGGTGGTACAGTGTACCTCTTTTTGTGTGGATTCTTAGTTCCAGCCAATTTCTTATGCTGGATTGGACCAGTTTTGTTTGCATCATTTGTTTATCACTACAAATTGCCTTGAAGACAGTTTTGGTTATTACCATTTGGGATGGACCTAAGCCACACCTCCCACTGCAGATAAATAGAGCAGACCATAATTTTGCCAGGCAGAGAAAGCAAAAATTGATTCAGTATATTCCTGGCTAGAGCCAAATCAGTTTTCCCTCTTGAAGTGGATTTTAAAAGCAGCCACCACGAGAAAGAGTTGGCAAAACAGCTGGCTCAGTTCAAATTGGATCTGACCGAGAAGGAGGCTCAGCAGAAGCTCAGAGTTGGACCAATGTCAACTTCTTGATATAAAAATCAAATGTAAGGACTAAAAACTGAAGCACTGATTTTTTTTTTTTTAAAAATTAATGCCTAGAATGAGGCGTACAGATTTTCTTCAGCTTCCAATTTTCTAAGGTAACCAACAA